TTACACTTGTTTTACTATCGAGAGACTTTCTGTAAGTAAGAATTCCATTGTACCAGTACCGGTTACATATGGCAATAAAGTTCAAGTTCAAGTTCTTGAAGAAATGGTCATAAGAACATTTTCAAAGGAAAAATAAATACATTACTACATTATAACAAATATAATTAACAGCAGCTAGAGATGCAGGAGTGTCGGATTCCAAAATAAACAGTTAATAACTTTTAAAAAAACTTTAGTCTTTTTAATGTAAACCATGAAAAAATGCAATATACAGTAGGAGACTAAAAGTATTTCCTGTATGCGTCATATACCAAATTATTATTAGGTTACTAAAGTTAAATAAAACATTATTAAAAAAGTTTAGTTTACTAGCCCCACATAATGATTTTTTTTGTGCAAAGACAATTCACTGATTCAACAAATGACAAAAAGAACCACTTTCTAAATTCTATATCTGAAAAACACCAAGAATTGTTATTATTGCATACAGTATGAGCTCAAGAGGGTCTTAATTGTCCCAGTCTATGAACACCACTAGAAATCTACAATCTTCTATTTTCTTTTTGTCACCTTGCACATTTCAGCCAAGATTAACGGTAAAGCTATTACCGGAGTTTAATTACCAGACTCCTGTTGTGCAAAGTACAGACCTCGGTGCAGATACCCCTCAATGTGGCGCCCACGTTTGTATCCACAGAGGATGAAGGCAGTTTCTAGAACCTTTAATTTCCTATGTGTCCTGTCAGAATAAAAAAGTACTTTAATAGCACTCCATAATGGTGACTTGTCTACAACCTCAATTACATTTGTGAAAAGGTATGACATTGGAAGTGAAATGATTTTCTTTTATTGACACTTTATGAAGCAAAGGCATGGAGGTGTTCCAATAAAAATATAGGGCAGACAGTCTGGAAAACACTTTAGGGAATATTTCACTTGTAACTTGCATTTGACTATTTCTAAGAAGCCTTTCACAATTTGTATAGAAAAAATGAAGCACTGAAACTAACAAGAGCTCCTTCCTAAAAAACAAATCCTAACATGATACAGAAAAAAAGCAATATTTGTATTCATATGATAATCCTTTGAGAAAAAGTGTAGAATTATTTTCCAACTTGAAGGTGATAAAATATTTGAAAAGCATAAGGCCGTAGATGATCATTTTGTAGAATGCTCTAACTTTAACTTTCCAAAAGTTAGAAGAATCTAACTTTTGGAAAGTTATTTTTTTAAGTAAGAGTACTACAGGTTCAGGTTGTGTTGTAATGTTTTCTCTGTGTTATTAGTAAACTAGAGTAACAAAAATGTGTTATTCAGGCAGGAACATCTAAGGCATATAAAACAAAAAAATAACATTTTTTATTAATATTTTATGTCATGCTTTCCTCATTTCTGTTGCAATCTGTGCTGTTGGTAAGTCACTGCATTGGTCTAAAATATTTGAGGTAAATCAATGGGATTTAATTATGAAAGGATTTCAGATTCTAAACTTAATATAATAGCACCCAGCCCAGGAAATAAATTCCAGAATTAAGACTCCCAAGCATAAGTGCAATATTGCATTGCTTAAAGGTCCAAAGCACTTAGAAAGTTACAATTCATTTTAAATAATGAAAAAATGCATCACTATTTCTAAAAAAATAAATTTCACTTTCATTTGCGATATAAGGAATTTTTATTTATTTTCTAGTTCTCAAGTTTGTTTATAACTCTATTCTTTTATATTACCTGGATATTGTGAGCGTGTGTGTATTGTCTTAGACTAAGAAACCATTCAAATTAAACATTAAATAACTTCGTCGTTGTGCTCGTTGTTTGCAGGCTCTGGTTCTCTGCCCTGTATTGGATAATATGGTTGGATGGATGTTACAGTTTGCTGTATATTTTGTGATTTGAATTTCTACACCACAAACTTTAAAATGTGTCAAAGAAGAACGATTATCCACATTGTTTTCCATTTTAATATTTAATATTGTGTGTACTGGACAAAGTATTTTCAAAAGTCATACTACTAATGTTCTAAGAACGTTAGTTTTCACAGCTTTTAAGAAAAAAAACATGTTTCTCACTATCTGGGAATTGCGCCCACGCATCAATCGTAGAGTACAACAAAATGTTTTATTTCTGTGCACACGTGAGAGAAAGGTTTCTCAGTTTTACATGTTCCGAAGAAGAAATTTGACCCATCAAAGCATTTCGGCTTTCCGTTACCGATTAGTTATAGGAAGGTTTAATTAAAATATGACTTATTTCAGACATGTTTTGTTGTTGTTAGAGTTCATCCTTGATCTGTGCATAGCGCTGCCTCGCTCAGTAGAATAAGATGAATGCCCAGATTCACACAGCGGCAGTTTTGAGTACTTCCTGTTCAGTGAAGTAAAAATGGCGACTCCCATGGAGCTGATCTGCTGGGGTAGTGATTGGGGTTTGCCATCCGTACATACTGATTCTCTTATTGTTATGGTAACTGCTTTCAATATAAATGCGCAAGCAAGCACCGAACAAATAGTGAATTTAAAATATGTCTACAGAGAAGTGGCGAAAAACCGTGATGCGTTTGTGGCTACCGATACTCAAATAAAAAGACTGATAACACCGGCAGATGTACAGTGTATTCAGATCTATGGTTGCTGTTGCTTGCACAGTAAAATAAATGATTAAATTCTGTATATTTTATCACTCTGGTGAAATGAAAATAGTAAAGCATGGCGCAGTTTAGTTAGAGATACTTTCAAGGTCACGGGTTTTATTTTTAATAGTGCATCTCTACTTAACCTTCACTATACAGTACTTCGAGTCTGCTTTGAAAAATAACAGTGCATAAAGTGCATGATTTGTCACTGTCCAAAATGACTTCATACCCCGTTTTTTAAAAACCGTGGAAATTTGTATTTTTTTCTGATTTCTAACGTACTTAGTGTTGTTTCAAGGTTTAACCTTCTTCTTTGTTTACCATATTAGCAGAACTCCAATCCTTTAATAATAATAATAATAATATCTCCAAAACAAAATTACTTGCTATCTTTTAAACATCTCAGTTTTCTTCAAATTGATATGTTAATCATATTTTTATTTTGATATAAGTGTTATGTGCTTTTTTTTGAAAGTTTGTTATCCATTTATTCACAGTTAAAATAAGGAGACTGTTTATGCTCTTTACATATCTGGAATGCAGTAAATTCAAGCATAGCATTAAAAATGGAGTATTAGCCTGAAATGTAGTTTGTCCTTGTCATTGGGTACGTTCTCTTGTTCTTCTAGGCCTACGCCAAATTTTCAGGAGCTCAGCTGAAAGTACTGCCTATTGACTTAACATGGAGGACCTTAACAGGTGAAAATATAAATATACATTTTTTTCTGTGTGGACCAGCAGCCTGTTTAAGCAATGTATTTTCATTACCACCTCTGCCAGTTGCTTGAGTGTTATAGTTGATATTTGTTTGCCAAAATCCCTTCCACTGCCCGCAAAACTTTTATTCTTATAAATAGATATAAAATCAAATCCATGCCATATGTTTTTTTTTTAAATAGAATCACTGTACTGTATTGCAGCAATGCTTCCGGTGGAATCTGAAAATATACATTTTATACATGATTTAAGGGATGCAGTACACATGTACTGTACATTGTGATGCTCTTATAAAGTGGCTATAAGGAAAAACTCATTTTATTTTCAATTATTTCATATAGGTTTCACTCCATTTTTTAAAATGCAGTTGCTTCTTTCTCAAGATAATGATAAATCTGTGATGATAAAGTAACAAAAATGTGTAATTAAATGTAATCTATTCTGGTTACTTATTTAATAACTACCCATCTTGTATGCTAAATGTTTTATTTGCTACAACACAGCAAAGTGTTCTCTACAACACAACTGACAGAGATCAGTGGACCACTCACTGATAGATATTTAATGTGTAATCTACTCATATTAGTAAGTATAATATATAGTTAATTATGGATTTTTTTAATAGCATTAATTTTGAATTATCAAACCTAGGAGCTGGTTCTCCAGTCTTTGACCCGTCAGTTTTGAAATTACTATTTGTTATTTTGAAACAATTATTTGATCAATTTCTAATTCTCTCAGTCCAGTGAAAGCTGCAGTGGTTTTCACTTAAATAGACATATACTGTATGTGATATTTGTAAGAATAAGTACGGGTTCATTCAGTCCTGAAAATGTTTCAGTGTGGAATGAACCTCTACTTGTTTTTTTTTTAGGTGTGCTAGCTTCTACGGTTTCCCACTTTAAGATAATTATTTAATGTAAAGGCTATCAGTTGAAACAAGAATAGGAACTCCTTGGGACACTCAAGGATTGAAGGTATAATAGCTAAATTAAATATGCATACTGTTGGACTTAGCTTGTGCTGTACAAATGTTCATGTATCAATTGAAAAACACTAACACTAAAAACACTTGTCTTTTATGAGATTGTCATCCTGTAACTGTTACATGTCATAGCAAATCAAGAGTTTAACTTCTGTTTTGCTTGCTACTGTATTTTTCTTATGGGAATTTGAATCCTTCAGAAACACGAGAGGCCATTTGAACATAAGCTGAAAAGAAGCGTAATTTCCAATTTAAGTAAACAAGTCACTCTTCCAGTACAGTCTAACCAGTGACTTTAACTTGGACTGTCCTTGAATTAGTCCTTTTTATTAAGGTGTTTCACTATCTTAAATGTGATTTTACTTCATTCCATGACATAAACTTTTCTTCACTCTCTCTTAGGAACTGTGCCAGCACTGGAGTTTGATGGGACCACTGTAACAGAGCCTGTGCACATTTTGAGCTATTTAAGGAAACAGGTTTCACATTTTTTAAGTTGGTTACATCTCTTTGCTTTCAGGCCACATGTTCTGTGATATTGATTTTTTGTTTTTTAAATTTATAATGTGAAGTACATTAAAGTACATTAAAACCCTACGGACATTTTATAAAACTTTCCATCAGTGTTTTTTCTCTCTACCTCTTAATTAGGAATATCCAGTTTTTATTTGGCTAAACTCACAGCTACAACTCACATTTTAGAAAGTTATAGTTGAAGGCAGTGTTAGTGTGCCTGCTTTTGTCAGACGTTTCTGTTTCCACACTGTCAAACCGCAGTGAAAACAAGGATTCTAAGGCGTGAAGGAAGGAAAGATGCTCCAATAACAGAGTGAGCTAATAGGAGCGTACTGTAGTACTTTATAAGGGGCTGCTATTAAGTAGGAGTCTGAGGATACCATCGCCATCTCAAATCTAGTAAAACCCAGAAGTGCTAATTTTGCACCTCTGACGGTACAATCCTGTTTGCAGTCAGCTAGTGATAAAGCACAGATTAAATTCAGTGATTTATGAAGTATTGGGGCTAGCCTACTCTTCATATGAGTGCCTCACTGGACATCACTGCTTCAAAGACACTATAAACAATAGTCAGATCTGTGTCTTCCAAACCAGTATTCATCCTTTACACGGTTATGAACTGTAAAACCTTCTCCATGGGCAGCAAGTGTTTTTGTCCTTTAAGTAAAATACAAGCTGCTTTTTTTATATCAGGTAATTCATGTTTTAACTGTAGAAAGCAGACCTGAAAAACCCTACTACATCTTTTCATTATTGCTCTACTGGTGTCCTAGACCCAGGGATGTGTCCTTAGGTCAAGAGCAGTAGATACCTTGGACAGAAAGTGATCACATTTTACATTATGATATTATTTATTTCACAAGTTTTATATAGCTACTATTTTTCATCTTTTTTTTTAATTGTTTATGAGGGTGAGTGGAAATCATTAAGATTCTGGATCATAATATTTATTTAGCACTTGTTACCTAAATATATGTTTACATTTGGGCTAAAATACTTTTTTACAGGTTTCAAAAACCTTTCTAATTTTATTATTTAATACAATTTGTATTTGAATGATTGAAAAAGAAAATATTAAAATATTTTTTAATTAAGGTATGTATAGATTTTGAGGCTACTCTAGTTTTGAGATTTTTGAAACATAATACAATTGCCAAACTTATACTGAAATCATAGGAACATTAATGACTGAGCACATAGAAAGTGTACGTCTTGCATAAAAGCATGTTTTTCTTTTAACAGAGATACAATGCTGATTATGAACTCACAGCTAAACAAGGAGCTGATACATTGGCCTTTATTGCGCTGCTTGAGGAGAAACTGCGTCCGGCACTGGTAAGTACTGTATATTTCTACTGAAATACAGCCATCACCAGAGGGAAATACAAATACCACTGTAGTTGGAATGACCAAATGCTACAGGAATACATGTACATTTAATAAGAGTAAAGAAGAAAATGCAGACATGCAACATTTTAGTCCTAAAAGATTGTGTTTTGATGTGAGTTGGTTTCTTTTACAAAACAGTGTCCTGCATTTTTTATGGTGTACATAAGCCCCTGGTTTTATTTGGCCAGGGCTTATTTGACCTGAAATATGGGAGTCTTTAGTTTTAGTCTGTAATTCTCTTTCTTGCTGTCTCTCAGAAACAGATTTTGTACTGTGTTGTCCAGGAGAAAGAGTGTGTCTGTTATCTTCTAGCGATGAATATGTTTTTGTGGGTCAGATAAGCTGAATGACAAAGAAATGGACAATCGTTCTGTTTGATTGATATAAAGCTGATTGTGTGCAGTGATCAATAAATTAACAGTTTAACAGATTTCCTGGTGACACTTTGTTGTAGGAAGGCAACAGAGGAAGGAAGGTACACTATATATACAAAAATATCCAAAATGTAAAATAACAAAGTTTAATGTTAATAAATAATTCAGCTTTCCCAATAGATAATGGTTTTTCCAGAAAACCAACTACATTCACTTTAGAAATAATATCACGATTTGATACAATACAATAACAAAGTTGTGCATTGCTAAACATGTGACCTAGTGAAATTTTGACTGGTTTGAAAACTTCAAAACATTTTTCTAAAAGTTATAATATTTAAAACAAAAAGGAAATTACATGACACATAGTCCACACAATCTGTTATCATTGACTCATTTCAAAGTCTCCTCATATTGAAAATGGATTGGACTTCAGATTCATAAAGAACGATATATTTGTAAGATCTGGAGGATTCTAACAAGTCAGTTTGACAAGATTTTCAATCAAGCACAAAATAAGAGTGTCAAGTTAATGTGTTCTGTGATTTCCATCTCTTTTCTAGTTGCATACATTCTGGGTGGATGTTGAAAACTACTCCAATGTAACAAGACCATGGTTTGCTTCCAGAACCCCATTTCCACTGAACTTCTTCCTACCTAGCAGGCTGTCCAGCGAGGCTCTGTCTCGGATTATGTTGACTAAAGGGGAACCTCCATTGCACAGCATCAGTGAGGTGGAAGCAAAAGTAAGGCAATTTGTTTTATAGTGTTTTATTCAGTAGCCCAGGCTGATAATGCAGATTATTGATGGACACATGTGTCACATGAATAAATACTTGGAATACTTGGATAACATCTCTACTCCTGATCCTGGATAAATGAGGGACACCATGTATAATGAAAGCAAGGGCAGAGATGTGTAAATATGAAAATTACATCCTAGCATGCTTAGGGATATGTATAAAAATATTTCACGGGGCTGGTTGCTTATAATTATGGCTAGAATGACTGTAAGAGGATACCACGATGCCTTTGAAAGAAGGGTGATTGTAGGGGCATGTTTGGAAGAGTCTTCAGTGACCAAGACTATTTGCTGTTGTTTCACAAGCAGTGGTTTCTAAGGTGATGTCAGATCAGAATGCTGAGGGAAAGATATCGTCCAAATCATGCATGCACTAAACAGGAAAGCAACTGCAGATAAACTGACTGAAAATCAGCCTGGGCTGCAAGCAGCCAGTTTCATCAACAATGATCTGCTGGGGAACTCCATAAATTGTGATGGCGTAGTCAGGTTGCAGTACACAAACCGCTCATCACACCTGGCATGTTTGTAAGTCCAGTAATACAGAGAACACAGACGGTGGAGAAATTGGATTTGATGAGATGTATTATGGGTTCTGCCATGTTGTGGGACACGTTTTCCTGGCATGGTTTGGTTGCATTCATTCCCTAAGAAGGCAACGGCAACACTTCACATCATAACTTAGTTGTATTGAGCGATCATTTCCAAACCTGTCTTGCAGCATTTCTTGCTTGCCATTAGGAGTGTCTTCCAGGATGAAAATGCCACCATCCACTGTGCACATGTAGTCGCCCAGTGTTTTAATAAGCACACAACTGATGTTACCCATATGTCGCGGCTTTCTCAGTCACCAGATGTTAACCCAATAGAACATTTATGGGATATTTCAGAATGACACCAGAGAAGTGTTTCCCCCTCCATCGGCCTGGATTGAGTTGATTGACTTTCTCATGGGAGATTGGCGCAGTGTCTCTCCTGCAAGATTCCATATGCTGGTAGACTCTACGCCATGGTGCATGAATTTGCATGAACTGGCTGAATGTGGTGGCCCAGCCCTCTCTTAAGTGCCTTTACATTGATGTGTCCATTCTTTTGAATTTCCATGCCGGCTTACAGTCTTGGTAGTTCAGTAATGGGGAACAGTGGCCATTCTTGTCTGGCTGCAAAGCAATGTGAGTAGAAGACAGTTATTTTTAATGTTCTCTTGGTAATCTAAGAGAAGGTGAAAGATATTGTGGTTTAACAAAAATGTCACTGAATGTGATCTCAGTGCCCTGGATTTCTCAGTAAATTAAAAGGTAGCCTCTGACTGTTCTGAGTTTAAGATCATTGTGCGACCTCATATAAATAACAACGTTTTTCATTTAGAGACATACAACCTTTACTCATATGGTGGATAAGTGATAAGGACAGAATACCTGGAAACCTGAAAAATTAGAATTTAACTGGCTTTGTTTTGTCTTTTGTCTTTTTAAGTTTCTATTTATATTTTTAATATATATAAATGTCAAAGTCTGAAGCGGTTCTCAGGTTTGGTCCATCTTGAGCATTCCAAGTTGATTCTCACCTTTAGTGTAAGTTATTTTCTATTTTTTTCCTGACAATCTAGCTGGCCATGGGAGAAAGTCTTTTTTTTTTCCCTCCAGGTCATTCTCAAATACTATATACTATTCATGAAAAAAGATTGTTTATTTTTCCAGAATACTTAAAAGAGATGAATAGTATGTAAAATTATATAGCTTTGCTTTAACAAAACATGTCCAAAATTAAAATCACACACACAGGACAAATAAGCTCTCAGTATAAAAAATATAAAAAAATAACATTCAGAATTGTATTTATTGTACATAATGACCATAATGTGCACATGTTGCATAAAAAGTATGTAGTTGGAGAAACTGTTGTATTCAGATCAAATAATGATCAGTGGAAAATACCAGTAATGGTCATTCTCTCTACCATTAGCTCCCACCTTAATTCATGCTATATTTTAAGCTTGAACTGGAGCTCTTTCTCAAAACCCAACTCACAAATTTACTGTAACCTCAGCTGAAACCCTAACTATTTGTCTGTTTTTTGCCTGATAAGAGTAATAGTTAGATTGCTCTGCAATACTTCTGTCATTACAGTTTTTTTACACATTCACACCACCATGCATTTACTGCACTGTGAGTAAAATTGAAAAGCATATGCACGTCATATATGACATACTGTATAGTATTCATAATTAAAATATTGTATAAGGAGATGTGAGCCCTAACAGTTTTTACAGGGTTACTTCAACCATTCCTAATATGTTGGAACAGTTTGTTAACTTTGTATAATTATTGGTAAGGAAACCAAATCTGAACTGAAGTCTTCAATAAAGTATAAAGAAGGAGGTAATTTGAAACATGCTATAATTACATAAGTACCAAAGCTTTGCCTGGTCTGTGGCAGGATGTACCAAACCAATATCGTAATGTTAAATACTGGCCTGTCTTTTCCTCATGTCTCTCATTAGATTTACAGTGAAGCCAAAGAGTGCCTGAATCTTCTTTCGCATAGATTGGGGACATCCCAGTATTTCTTTGGAAACATGTGAGTATAGTCTTGAATGAGAACAAAATGCAGAGTGGAGCAAATCACTTTCAGTTCAGAAGGCAAATTTTGTTTATAAAGAGCCTATGCTGTTAAATAAATGCAGCTAAGTGTAATTATATAATTTGTAGCTACTTTACTGCATCATTAATGGCTTTCATCTGTGTAAACCAGACTTCGAGTCTCTTATCTAGCTAACGTGTTGTTACTTTTGGCTGGATTCAAATAACAGCCTTTAATAAAGAAGCTGAATTAAAGTATGGTCTCGACATCTGCAAATTTAACATGCGGACATTTGCTTATTTGTGATTCGATCTGGCTGTTGAGGTCTTGGATGAAAGAAGAGCAGAGTGGGATGAAACCAAGTTGAAGGTTATTGACAGTAACTTATAAATTAGCAGCACAACAGACGCACATTTCATTACATTGGGGTGTGCTAATCTCAGAGCCAGGAAAGAGAGTGTGGGCTTGGTGTGGAGGAGGGATTCATGTTTTTTTATTATTTTAACTGATTACTATGAGTGATTAACAGTGATTTCTGTTGTTTCTTTTAGTCGATCAGTGTTATTCCAATTAACTTAAAGCCGATGCAGCAGTATTTTAATTACCATGTAAGGAAGAGTTACATATAACTTTTATCCATACATACATATTATGTACTCTTGTACTGTACATTTTGCAACAGTATAGGGGTATAATGGTTATATGTGAATTTGGCTGTTTGCAACAGTTCTCTGCACAGTTGAATACTGGTTTTAAAAGATATCCTAGAATCAATACAAAATTTATTTGACCACTTAGTTAAGTGTTTGATTTTCTGTTTTGTTATGTCCATAGGCCAGCCAGCCTTGATGCCTTCGTTTTTGGATATATTGCACCACTTCATAAAGCAGACCTTCCTAATGGACAGCTACAAGTGCACCTGAAGCAGCTGACCAACCTTGGCCAATTTTGTGATGCCATAATTAAAACTTACTTTGTAGAAAGCGCCTCTGGTAAGACATTTCTTAGTTCCCACTTGTGTCCTTTTTTTTTGTTTCTGTTTATTCTGACAAAATCTATTGGATCAGATTTGTCATTGCTTTGGAGTTATTCCATCATCTTTACTGCTGATTAAGATAGGTTTGTCCTTCAGAAACGACAAAAGCACATTTAAAACATTGAACAGTAAGTGCTGAAGATCATAGGAACTGAACATTCGGAACTGAATTTGAACAACAGTTTCACGTCAATATGTTTTTGTTAAATACTGTATTGTACATTCATGTAATCTTCTAATCACAGTACAAATTGCTTCACTATGAGGCAAAAATGAGCTTTGACTTTGATGTCCGAATGCTTAAGGAGGGCACTTTATGTTTTGCCTTAAACCCTGCTGAAAATTACGTTGCATTTTATATTTTGATCGTTCATAATCATAGGTGGTCTTTTTTAACACAAAAGGCACAGCTTTTTTTAAATACACCTTCTCTCCAGATTATCTATGACTTGACCTGACTTGACTCCATGTAAAGACCTCCCATGGGTCCCATAATGAAATATTTAAGGAGCGTTTACGTTACTGGAGTGAAAAGCAAGCTGTGCAGCAACTTTCAGCACCTAAGTGACTTTAGAATTTTTATTTTTACTGTGTGTTATATTTACTGAGTCATACAGTGTAGGTTAATGAAATGTACTGCATTTATACATTTGTTAAAAGGTAATTCTCTAATTGATGTATGTACTGTACTGTATATTTTTAAGTGTATACTATATTTGGTGGTTAATTATTGTAATTATAGGATTTCAAACTCTTTTTTCCATTCATCATTATTTCTAACTAACTAACTATTTCAGTCCTCTCCTTGCGTATTACGGGGGGGAGTTTCCTTTCATTCTCTTTTACTCAACCCCATTGACATATGCTGCTACATTCTCTCTCCTGCTCTCTAACCCCTCCATGATTAGTACACACCTGTTAACCATTAAAGGACACTAAACCAGAAGAGCTTGCAATTCTGCTCTCCTGTCCCTCCTATCCGACTCCTAGAAACAGCTAGAGCATACATGTATAAGGGAAGATAGCGGCAATATAAGGCATGGTTATTCTCTATATGAATTTACACAATGCTAAGAAAGGGTCTTTCGTGATTTACCTAAAACCTGAAACTGATTCCTTAGGTAACCTGGTTAGTAATTGTAATGTGAACATTTCTTTTGCTTCCTGTTTGATGAATTATTTTTGTAATTATCAGCTTGGTATTTGACTGAAGCAGCTTCCTGTGCCACAGGATTTAGCTGTCCAATATTTGATACAGAGTAAAGTTTGTTACAGAGGGTCCACCAGCAAGACTGAGCCTATTTTGAGAAATTCTGAGTCTGGGATTACAAACTGCCTGCATTAACTTGCTTTGTAGCTGTCATGTGGTTTTGTTTTATATCTTTTTCATTCTTCTTCATGCTGCTTTTGTGAATGCACCTCTTCTCCTGTCTTCTTTATATTTTGTCTTCAGGTTTATCTCCAGCCAGCCAGGATGCAGTAGATGCAAATCTGCAAAAGCTGACACAGCTTGTTAATAAAGAATCCAACTTAATTGAAAAGGTCATGCCTTCCTTTGCATTCTGTTTCTTTCTGTTCTTATGCAAATCCTTATGCAAAATCATTTTTTTTGCAGTCTTTATAAATTGGATAAATAGTGTGAATGGAGTGAAACAGTGTGTCTACCCATAAAATGGTAAAATATGGATATAATTGAGATAATTAAGAGCTTTTTCAATATCTTAGATATCAACGCAGTAAATGGAATGTTTTTTTAGAAAAATGCACCCAGTGTTTTCTGAATTTAATCTGGAGTCTAGACTTGCACTTTTACATGTTTTACCTTGTAAGTAAATTTACAATGTTATCTTGATTATCTTTGTTTAGAGTAAAAGATTACCCAAAGAACTATAAGTTGCTTTTGTGAAAATGTTCTCAAGGATGATATAGCTACGCCTTCTATGCCAGTGCTGTATGCAATAAATGTTGATCAGCTGTAACTTTGTACAGTATATCCTTCCCTTAATTTCAGAAGGAAAGGAATCATTTTCAAATTACATGTGTAACACCCATGTGCAATGCCCACTGGTGGCAATGGCCATGCAGCCTGCAGAGGCCTGACTTCCTAATCAAATGATATCACGCTTGGGATTTCACACTGTACTACCAATTAGGACAGACCTGCAATGACCATTCTAGTGGCTGTCCGTGCCCTTCTTTAGACATCTCGGGTGGTGTCATGTCAACTAATTACACTAGGTTCACCATTTCTACCCTGATGTTCCAGTGCAGCCACTATTGTAAAGACATATTTGCCATGCTGATATAGTAGAAGCTATGCAATATTTAATGGCTACAAAAAATTGGGAAATGTTAAAAATGTTAGTGGGAAATGTGTTAGTGAAAACATGCCACCTTATATTTCAGGTTAACAGGCATTATCTGGATCAGTAATGGTTATGGTATGCTCATTACTGCCCCATGTCTATCTGCTGCCAGCTTTCAGGGAGAATTATAACAGCTGTTTGGTAGCAGTGTAATTCGTTGTGTTTAAATTATACATTCTCACAGCCCTATCTGATTTCATTAGTTTACGTGTTCTGAAACAGGCTCCAAGAGACAAAAGTACTCAACTACAAATTAATTTTATTTAGTTTCAAATAGTGGACAAATACAAAATTCCAGCTAGAGATATTTTATACTGACACATGCCTGTACTGTAAATAATTTTGATGTTAATGAGGTGTACAATTCTAGCATAGCTAGCCTATAGATTGTGGATACTTGTAAAAAACAAATTTCCTCTAAATGATAGGTATCAATCCTGCTTAATAAAACAATACCTATTTTTCACATTACATTATATATTTTGTAAATATTGGCATGGTGCACAATTAAGTCAGTATATTTCTTAGAGTGTTTAAAAAATTGTTCAGGTGGATAGCTGCGTCAGCATGCGTAGGCTGCACAGGAACAAGTAATAGTTCTATTCCATGCTGAAAAGAGAAGAAAGAAAACAATGTTTCGGCTGTGAAGCCTTCTTCGGGTGAAGCTGTGTTTTCTTTCTTCTCTTTTCAGCATGGAATAAACCTATTACTTGTTCCTGTTTCAAAAATAAGCACACTCGAATATTAACCACAGTATTTCTGTGTTTAGGTTTGGAATGTGGCATGAAAATTATGCTTTTAAAATCATGAATTCATTATGGTGCCAAATCTGTTACTACTAATTGTAAAAAATATATAGAAGAGTGGTTGAGTTTTAATAAATGTTTTTTACCTACTGCTGTAGTTTTTATGTTGTATTTGTGCATTCAGATATATCTTTGTTCTTTTATACTGTAGATGGATGACAATCTTCGCAGCAGTCCTCAGCACAGGCCCAGGAGGTCGGATCTGAAACCTTCCCTCATCTCTGAAGAAAGAAATTCTTCAATGCCGGCATGATCCTGGCTGTTTAATGGATACAGTTTAAATGAATGCAAGATCTGGTACACCTTCGGACTTTAGCAGGCAAAGAGAGTATAGATCCCAACACTACCTTGGCAGAGAGGACTGCTTCTGTATACTTTCTTCTTTTGTAATGAGGCATTGCAGTTTTCCTGAAACAAAAGCGCACAGTGAACCAATTTTGCTTGGCAGGTGTCAAGTTGCTTGCATTGTGCAGACATTGCCTTAATATTATCTGCTTGCAAATTGTGAATTAGGTTATACATTCTCAGCAGAGGTGTGTGATGGAGTTCAGAGGCCAAATTCTTGTTAAAAAAATACTGATGGTATATTGGTCATCTCGAAATAATGGAAAGCAACAGTTTAGGGAACTACAGCAACATGAGTACATGTAAAACACACTGATCTGCCAATAGAGTAGCTGAGAACAGTGAAAAGAGTGCATTCTCATTGAGTACTCTAAAAATGAAAGCATCTAACTAGATTAAAGAGTCCTGGAGCTGTGATGACCTACTGTAAAAAGCATGAAGGAAAATTGCTCTGAATTGGAAAAGTGGATGAGGTGGCAGATGAGAGGAAAGAGACTTTATTACAAGATATGGGGGAATCTCATGAAAGATTGTAATGAAACAGTTTGTGAGGTGCAGTTTCATGGTTTCCAATTTAATTGGTGAGTTCTCATGATTTAAACATACTGGGTTTCCAGTACTAGTGAATGAAATGTCAGCAGTAGATTGCATCAGTGAACATTCACCAGGTAATGTTGCAGATCATATCCTGAGTATAATTCAGTTCAACAATTATTATCTCTTGGGGGAGCTTTGTTTTGCAGAATCCAACACAACAACACAAGATACAAACATCACCAACAAAGAGTTCAGTAAAATCTGTGTTTCAGAAGATGAGAGAATAATGTTAATTTCTAGAGGGAGTTAATGATTTTGTAAGTCTATTTCCATTACACCTTGGGGCACAGAGACTTTTCTCAGGTGGGAGTAGTGTAAGTGTACGGGGGAGGGGAAGATCCACACACTCCATAATGCCCTGTAGTTCTTCCAGTATAAATACTGCACAGTATGTAGATTGAAAGCATTCTATTATAGTGAACATTTTATAAAACTTTCTCATATTTAGGTAACATCCGTTCTGCAAGTGATTCAAGATTTTATGTTTTTGAGAAGGACTGAAATGAATGAAAAACATTTGGACATTTGATGCTGTATTTAAGTATAAATGGAATTGTGAAGTTTTGTGTTAAACTTAAAGGGACTGGAAAGTGAAATAATTTCAATATTTTAATATATTAAAATGTTATAAACAGACTTGAAATTCTAGTGTTAAGCACTGTAGTTACGACAACCGTGTTAATCATAGTAGCTTGACAGTTACTCAAAGGCACTGCAAAGGCAGTGATAATATAAAGTTTAGCATTGGTACCATTTGTTAACCATTTAAAAAATTGTGGAATATTTACCCATTTTCCTAAGGAACAATTAAGACGTGGAGGGCTGCACTGTGATGACTAATGCAGTCTACTGTAATCACTGTGCTTGGAAAGAACATTATGATATAATGCATCCAGTGCAAACCTCTTTTTAAGTTATGTGATACAGGAAGATTTATTCAAGGTAACACCTGAAATATCACAGCCTTAAGATTTTCTTTACTACATTTTGGCACAGAATGATTCATTGTAGTGATTTTATCCTTTTTCCACTTCAAGATAATGAAATAGGCTTTGTATATTCTTGACTCATTAATAGCTCCCATGTTGAAAGTGTTTGCTTTGCTGCTGTCCGTTGAAAGAAAATGCATGAAAGCTTTGTTTTGGGTATCAGTTTGTGTTTTGGTATCTGTAGAATTGATTCATTAATCAAGAATCTTAAGCATGTTGTTTTATGTTTGTTTGTACAGAGAGAGTAATTAAACATTCTCAAAGGATTATAATCTCTGTGGTTCCCATCCTCAGCTATCTCTTAAATATTTGTATACACGTCCACTATATAAGTAACTGTTGCAGTCAGGCTAGGTAATATATTTACAATAGAAATGAGAACATATGTACAGTAACAGATGTTGTGTCATAGTTACCTTTTGTGGTACTGGTCTATTGGTCAATTTTATTCTTATCAAGTGCCTTCTAGTTCAAGGCATTTTACTTTAACTACAAAAAAGTACAGTAAACATAAAATAATAAATCATGCATACATGTGAAATATGAAATATAATATTTCAAGAAAATGATAGAAATAGAATATGAATTAAAGAGCATCAAAAACATTATGTTTAAAGTTGGACTTAAGGATAGTAAAACTTGAAGGTCAACAAGACAATTTTATAATTTCAGTTATAAAGAAAAGTGTGCTCACACACTTAGCTGAGCACTGCTAGAGTTGTGTGGAGTTGATTGTCCTAGCTTGGTGTGGAAATCCCCACCTTCTTACACAACAGTGATCTATGAGAAGGAAGATTTGTGTAAGCATGAACCAAGTGCTAAATTACACTTCCAATCAATGCTAACACTTCTGCAGATTATACTGGCAGGTCCACACTGAGTAGGACGGCATGTTCACTTCTTAACCTGCCACACTGGTACGAGAATGATAGCTTTAATTTTCGGACTCATGCAGTACTGTATGTCTACTGTTGAGTGTCCTGTATCATTTTTAACATTACTTTTCATTACTTTCACTAGTATGTGAAAGATGTGCCCTAAATGCATTTTTAACCTGTCATTATTGATGTCTATGCAACCAAACAAAAAAAATGTTTTTGTGGAGATTTTGAAATGCTTGGAGCTGCCTAGGTTTGATTTATGAATCTATTTGTTTAGACTAAAGTCTGGTTGTTTTTCAGCTCCCAAAGAGAATAAATCAAGAAACCTATAAAAACAAGTCATCCGTTGTCCTTTAGATCTACTGAGAGCTTCAACAGATGTGAAGTTAAAGCCATAATTGATGCCTGATTCATTTTGAAGATCTGAAAGGAAAATTCAGAAGCAGGGATACTCATCTACAGTATTATGCATGTGAAATTTTACGGGATGAAATAGCAGCTAAAATTCCACTGAAATGAATGTAGTATTTTTATAAATGTCATAAGAATTATGAAGTGTCATTAATTTAAAAAAGCATTACTTAAACAACCTGCAGACATTAGACTTCTGCTAATAAAACCTAATTTCTAATCCATGAGTCATGTAACGTGCTGTGTTACCTTGTAAGAGTGTTTATGTTTGCTTCAGTTACTCAGCAGGAAAAAAAAACAAATTCTAAAACAAAGACTTCTACATATTTTTTATGTCCCATTTCAGGGTTAGATTAAACCACTGTGGAAAAGCACAAAAATACAGATCAGGACTTATCAACTTGGCTTAAAGCAAAATTTCAAAATGTGCATAGAATATATTAGAATTGTGGATCAACATAAAGAAGTAAAAATGCTTTGAAAAGAGTAGAACATAATTTCTGATTTCTTCTCAGCAGTGTATTTAATAGGTTAGAATATTTGAATGTATCATTTGCAGTATGTTTTTTGGTTGTGCATTAAAATATTAAGACTATTTTCTCAGTATCAGTTACAAATATTGTTTTTTCTTTTACATAATACAGATGTGTTGCTAATTCACATTGTTAATTTGTTCTTGAATAAAATATCAAGATTCACAGACATGCTACAACCAGACAAAGCCTATCTTAGGACTTAGGTCTAGTTCCAGAAGACACTTAGCTGAACAGTGCTGGAGTTGTGTGGACTTGATTGTTATATTTGTTGGTGATATGATTTCATGAATTATTCACATTGTTTAAAATAAACATTGGAAAACCCCCATCATAACTAATACTGGTGTGTAACTGTAAAGTAATGTACTCATGTTGAAAAAAGTCAGAAAACCCCACAAACAAGCAACAGTTGAAAGTGGCTGCATTTAAGATTTGAAAAAGACATATTGTCTGATTCAGGAACATATAAAAAATTTGGTGATGTTGATGGGTCACAGACTTGAAGCAGACAATGCATATAATGGGTATGCATCCAAATACTAACATTACAATCATTTAATTTGTCCCAATCCTTAAGCTCACCCAAATTGGGGAGGATTGAACAGAACAAATGACATTATTATAACATGGCTAAATACACAGCAAAAATAATAGATTTCACTTCACTGTCTCAAGATTTGTTCTTTTTTCAGTGTATATGTGGGTTACTATATACTATAGTAGTGGAACTGAAAATTATATAAATGTAAATACTATTCAGTACAATTTAAACATTTGTGAATGTCCTATATGCTGCCTTATGAATGTGCTCTATACAACAATTTTGTTGTCAGTGGCTTTCTGTAATCTAAGGCATTTATAATTAGTGGGGTTATCAAAGTAATCAAAGTGTAGTTGAAACTTGGTTTTAAGTGGATTATTATGAGATATTCCAGATGTTGTCATTTGTTTTTATGTAATGAATGTTCATTTAAAAATGCTTGTAAATCTCATTTTGTATAATTAAATGTCCATATAATAAACACTTCTATTTAAGGTAAGCAGGTATTTCAGTGCTCTTTTAAAACTTTATTTTGAATGTATATTAAAGTAATTAAGCCTCATTTTTGTTTTTTAGATTATAAATATCTGTTTAAATATAAACTATAAAATTGTGTTCTGCTGTACATTATAGGTAACAATTCAAAAATATAGAAATTGTTTAATCTGTGGTATAAGAAACCAGTCTTTAATCATTTTAACTGTCATGCATTCTTTAGCACATTTACATAATTTAAGAATTAAATGATATAGATATACAGAACATGTTCTGTATCATGTTCTGATTCTGAGTTATGTTCCATGGTATGAATCGTCTGTAAAGAAGCTGAAAGCTATATGTATTTTTTTTTCTTTTTAGCTTATTTTGTTTTTTAAATCCATTCTTCAAGTAGAATTCATTCAGTCCTGTGCCAAAAGATACATTTATCAAAAAGAGTTAAAATGATTAATAAAAAAAATTAAATCTTACTTTACCAATCTAGAACCTAGACACATGTATGCCCTTTGCAACACTTAACTCTGTTTATTTTTTTAATAGGGTTTTGTATTAGATTCAATTTTAGCATTATGGGGGGGTGAGATATAGTAGGGGCAGCACAAGTGCTGGGTCCCTGAAGTAAATTCTGGTCCTGGGGTGCTATCTGTGTAGAGTTTGCATGTTCTTCCCATGTTCACGTGGGTTTCCTCTGGGTGTTCTTGTTTCATCCAAAGTCCAAAGACGTACTGGTAGGTTAATTGGCTTCTGGAAAATTTGGCCCTGGTGTGAATGTGTGTGTGTCTGTGTCTGTATGTGCCCTGCGGTGAACTGGCTTCCTGTCCAGGGTGTGTCCTGCCTGATGCCCATTGCTTGCCAGGATAGGCTCTGGCTTCCCCGCAACCCTGAATTGGATGAGGCAGTTAGAAAATGGATGGATGGGAAACAGTAGTTAAAAGACAAACAACTCTGACTTGTTTTCAATGTTATTATGTTCTGTGTCTAACCCTGTTGCAGTAAAAAAAAACTGAATTGCTCTTGGTTTATACTTGGTAATTGGTATTTTTCTTGGTTCTTCGATTCTGTAGATAAAAACCATGTACACATAGTGTTATGAAACCTGCATCTTAAAAGATACTTTAAGACACAAAGCCATGTACACACAGTGATTTATCTTTTTTTCAACACCAAAATGTCTGTACACATACTTCTCATGAAAAAGTTTCATAACAGCCAAATGTCTAGTACCAGTCTATTTACGAGACTTGTAATTCAAGCAGTATTATTTCATTAGCACTGGCTACACCTTGAAAGGAAGCGTTTAAAAACATATAAGCAACATGAAAGCACAACAACAAAAATAAATTCACCCTTTAAATTTAGAAGAAGTGCTCCATCAGCACTCTTTGTGGATTTAGAGGCTTCATTAGCCTTTAGAGGAAAAAAAAACACAAGACTAATTTTTACAAATATGGTGTCCATCCATCCATTTTCTAAGTGGTTTATGCTGTACAGGGTTGTAGGGGAGCTGGAGTCTATCCCAACAAGGAAGGCGGGATACACCCTGGATGGGAAGCCAGTCTATCACAGGGCACACACAGGTACAAACACAAATGCTCATGTGGGAGGAAACCGGAACATCTGTAGAACTGTCTAAATAAGACCACTATTTTTTAGATCTTTATGATTGACAAAACTGTAATTCTGACATTTAAACATTTGTGGATTTAAACTAGTTCTCTATTTGAAAATTTTAGTGAACATAAAGAAATGTTTCTATTTAAAAATTCTATGTTTTATAAAAAGCAGTTCAAAGGTCCTAGACTTTCCTTTCAGCTTGGTAGAAAATCCTTGAAGAACTGAAAGTTGTGGTGGATGATTGACTTGAAAATGTAGCAGCAACACGAGACTGTTCTCGTGTTATTTTCCATCCGTCCATTTTCAAACTGCTTTATCTAGAGCCTGTCCAAGCAAGCAATGGGCACAAGGTGGAAACACCCTAATGCCAGTCCATTGCAGGGCAATACAGAAAAACATGCACTCACACCATGGCCAGCTTTCTCAGAAGCCATTTAACCTTCCAGTATGTATTTCGATTATAGGAGGAAACAGGAGCACCCAGTGAGAACCCATAAAAAAATCCCCAGAGGTAGCACACCAGGAATTAAACCCAGCACCCTAGTGCTGCAAGGAACCTAAGTTTACCACTGTGCCCTCATGCCACCCAAATATGGTGTTATCTTTACTAATTATTGTCATATACACCCAATGGGGCATCTGTCAATCTGTTCTCTTCTTTCTTCAGACCTCTCTGCACATTTGTGGATCTTTTTGTTTACATTTCTAAAAAATGAAACAAGAAGAACAGAACACCATGATACAACAACACCTCCCCCCCATCAGTGGTTTACACATTTCCACTAAAAGGGTCCTTAACAATTATACAGCTACAATATAGGCAGTTTAAAGCTACTGTACTGAGCAATGGAAATCTCCATGTATCCAATCCAATGAAGACTTTCAATTAGCACCAACAATTTTTAACTGTGGTTGGACTAGCTAACTAAACCTGTTTCTACCATTTCTTGAGGGCCAAATCCTTGAATACCTCTACATTTAGTAAAATAAATCTAGAAGAGCAAGACACTTCCTGGATAAAAAAAGAAAATTGTCTCCAAAACATAGCCACATCTGGAAATATGTGTCCTCCAGACAGAGTGTACTCAATGAGTTAGATACTAGCTTCATATGATAGTGTCTATCATATGAATATAAGATGCTGTGCAGTGGCTAGAAGGTTGCTGGTTCATATCCAGTGGCCAGCAGAGGTATCCTACTCTGTTGGGCCCTTAAGCTAGGCCCTTAACCCCAACTGCTCCAGGGGTGCTGTCTAAATGGCTGACCCTGCACTCTGACCCCAAGCTTCTCTCCCTGTCTGTGTGTCTCATGGAAAGCAAGTTGGGGTATGCAACAAGAAATTGTATATGGCCAATAAAGTGATCTTATCTATGAGGGGGAAGAAAATTGGGTGAATCAATGAATAGTTAGGATTTTTAGAGGCTTAATTTATGTTGTACCAAATGTTGTCACAGGGAATTTCTGCATTTGTAACATTCAAATCCCCACACCTAACAGTAACAGCTCCTAAAAGGCTTGTCTGAAGCTTCGAACATAAAATTATAAAAATATGATTTAATTACCTTTGTTTTGCCACTGATGTCTAGCAGATAATGCACTGGTTGTGTAGACAGTCTTGACCGAAGTGTGAAAGAGAAAGGACAGTTACTGGTGAGGCATTTCCCCTGTGATGATCTCAAGTTTATTTTGTGATTATAGATCCAAAATGCAATCTGCATTGTAGATTGTGCACTGCATCTACAGTGCAGGGAAACTGAGAGACAAGACTTCATTCAAGTGTCAAGATTAAACCAAAAATAAATGTTTCTGCTTGGCGAAGATAACCCACAGGTTTTCAGTCCAGTTAGGCTCTTGCATCACCTGCATCAGCTCATCATTGGCTTAACTGGACTAGTTAAACAGCTTCTACTTGAAAGTGCGAGCATCTGCTTTCAAGAGCCTTATGATAGGAGCTCCTTATCCAGGTAATGGGGACCCACACACCTGGTTATAGTTAAAAGTCCTTGTTTTCAATTCCTAAACATGTAGGAGCTTGTTTTATATCAACTGCATTTTTAAGCAACTTGAAAACCTCCAATCGTTGAGTTGAAAACACATCTTGCAAAGATCCTAACCAAGCAATGCGTTGGTTCAATTAGGAATTTAAGTGAACACCTCAGGCAGAATGACAACAAGCAGGTGTGCTGGACCCCGGGCCTACCACTGGAAAGACCTGACCTAGAAAAATGTGCACCAGCCCTACAGGACCAGGACTGGAGAGCTAGATTTTGACATAGTTCACCTGTTGTAAAATGATTCTTAATGGTACAGTAGTATTGTTTGATTGTTTGGAATGTTTGCATTCTCATAAGGGGTTGTTTTGTGATTAAGGGTGTGTCATGGTAAATTGATAGTTTTGCAAGTGTGTGTGGCTCCTGGATGTTTTATTGTCAAGCTCACATGGAGTTTCGTCATCAAGGTCCCTGTGCTTTCATAAATGAGAGGGGGGATTGTCCCCATTTGCTAATTTTATTGAAGTTGTTTATGCTGATGCTGTATGCCTCTAGATTTCTCAAGATCTTTAAGGCATTTGAGCTGCAGAAAATTGGGTAAGCTTGTTTTCTCCACTGAAGTAATGATGAATAGACATATTTAAGTTCACACCCTGAAATTCAGTAGTTATGAAGTAGTTGAAATGACTAATATTTTCAATGTTCAATTACTGCCATACAATTGAAGAGGGCACTGCCACTGAAATTATTTCTTTCCCCATGAAAATGACCTTTTTATATGTAGCTTTTCACATATTTCCCAAATACCTGTGTTGTGATTGTGGTGCATGTTTTCCAACCTAACATTAATATGGGTTTACTCTTTAAACTAATTTGTAAAAATGAATTATTTTAGCTTAATATGGCTTTCATGCATTTCAAATCAAATTCTGTGGCTTGTGATTGACTTGTGAGAAGGTGTGAATAGATCTGGAATCCCATGGGAAAAATAAAGCTATCTTAAGGTCTGTGAAAGGCTTCAAGACATGGGGGTTGTTTAACGCAGCAAGATTACTTAGTTAACTGGATACCTTTTGTACACATGTTGCTATGGTAAATGCCTGGATCTTCTATTTCACGAAAAAGGATTTAATTGTATAAAGTTAAGTAACTATAGCAACATATCCGATTCTTAACCTGCTACGGGGCAGGTTAAACTTAACTTTGTGGTTAAGAGCTTAACTCACAAACCAATCAGTCCCCTGAAAAAGACAATGTTACCTTTCTTCAGGGATCCATTTTATATTAGAGTTTTGCAGAGAGAATGAAATTTTAGAGAACACCCTTTACAGTTTGCTGATCATTTTTATTTTTAACTATCATAGTATAGAGTACACTTTACATTCATGATCTCTTA